TTGGGGAAAGGAGAACCCGTTGAGGTTTGTAGGTCTAGTAAAACCCGTTGTGGTTAGAAAGTTAGAAAAAGGCCCGTTGTGGTATTGCTAGGGTTAGGTCCGTTGTGACCCTTTAGGATTTGAAGTTAGGGAATAGCCCGTTGTGGCTTTTGTTCGGAAGTGTTCGAAAGTAGATTGTTTGAAATTGTCTTTGTAGATCGATCAGCGTTCATTACTATAAATTATTTAATACTACAACAACAACACATTCAAAACTCTCAATTACAAACAACCCTATTTTCGACACAAGCTTAAACTTGAAACTTGAATTCAAGCTTAAACTTGAATTAAATCTTAAACTTGAATTCAAGCTTTAACATAAATTCAAGCTTAAACTTGAAACTTGAATTCAAGCTTAAACTTGAAACTTGAATTCAAGCTTAAACTTGAATTAAATCTTAAATTTGAATTCAAGTTTTAACATAAATTCAAGCTTAAACTTGAATTAAATCTTAAACTTGAATTCAAGTTTTAACATAAATTCAAGCTTAAACTTGAATTTAATTCTGTTTTAATTCTGATTTTTAATTAGACACATTTAAACGAAAATTCTGATATTCCTAGAGTAAATAAAGAAATAAACTTTAAAAATTCTAATGATTAAATGTATTAGGAATTGAATCAGAATACACATCATTAAGTAATAAAAATTGTTTCCCCCAATTAAATGGCTAAAATTAACAACATTAATCTAGCAAATAAAATAATAAACAAATGAAAATATCTCTTCAGCTTTGGACAAATTTTCCAAAAAATAATCTTTAGTTTTAATGAATCATTGCTGAAAGAGAGGGGATAAATTGAGTTTTGTTGTAAATAAAGGGAGGGTGAAGGTGGAGGATGTAGGAGAATTACATAAATTATTTAAAAGTTTTTGACTTTTTTATAAACTGTTAATAGTGGACAAAAGCAAAAAATTTAACAAACAAGATCAAAGTTCAATTAAAATGTTTGGAGATAATTTGTAACAAAGATAAAGTCAAATTAGTTAAAAAATATATTAGCTCTAAAAATTTTTTTCTTGATTATTTTTGCTTTGCCAGTTTTTTAAGTACGTAGAGTTTTAGAGAATTGAAAAATTTGAGGTCCGAGTTTAAGCACTTCAAAATCTTTTCCCGATTAAAATGCTAGCTCAAAATTTTGGTTTTTTGACAATTTTTGATGGAAGTAAAACAAATCAGAAATACGTGAATATATTAATTTTCATTTAACTAATCAGAATTCTGATTTTTTAAAAATCAGAAAATTTATGTAATTGTTATCAAAACAATTTTTTCGATTTAAATTAAAAATAAAGATACAATAAAATTGAAAATTAAGAAATCGAAATAAATTTTTTCATTAAATTTATTAATTTGAAATAATATTAATAATTATAAGAAGGATTATTAGTTGAAAAATAGTCTCATTAATTATTATCGCCAACAGTTTCTAATTGTTCTGAATTATTATTGGGAGTAAAACGGGCAGAAGAAGAACTATCCAATAACTAAAAAATTAAATTCTGATTTTTAAAAATAATTGTAAAAATAAATTCTGATTTAAAATTTATTTGTTCTGATTTAAAAAATGATAATTTAGCTGAATTTTATTCTGAAATTCTAAAATTCTGAAATTATCAATTCTGGTTTTGTTATAAATAAAATTCTGATTAAATTTCAAAAAATTTGAAATTAAAAAATTCTGATTTTTGTATCAGAAATATTCTGATCGATTATTAATTCGTAACAACATAAAATTCTTATTTTCCGTTTGTAGAATTTCTGATTTTATAATAATGCTAGCAACTTACTAGCTTTATACCATAATGCAAATCCACTCATTTGAGTATCAATATCAGAATGAAATGAAATTGTCATTGTATTTTGTTTACTTTGTATTGTATTATTAAAATTAGTGAGTCCAGAAAGCCTTAAAAGTTGACGTTATTATTTCGACTCTAACTGAAAAATTCAAATTTTTATTTAAAAAAACAAAATTTTTCTTTCATTTTTTCAAGAATTAGAATCCTGAAAAATCAGAATTTTTAAGTAAAAATTAACATTTCCAACGGTATCTGGTTTGTATCATTTCCATTAAAAAATGACAAAAAATCACGATTCAATTCTGTGTAAAATTCTGAAATATTAACAACTATATGATAGCCTTCTGGGGCTTCTAAAAGCCACAAACAATCCATTGAATCACAATAACTGTCAGGATAATCAGGGGAATATAAAACATTCCAATTGTTTTCATCTGCTTTTAAATAGGGGTTTCCGCATTTACATCCTATTAATAATAAAGAATAAAATTTATTTTTTTAAGATTAAGGTAAATTTTTTATATAAAAATCAGAATTCCTGATTTATTAATAGAAAAAATTCACTTATATACATATAATCAAAATTTCTGGTTATAAGAATTTCCATCTAAATCAACTGATAATCCCTCTTCCTATAAATCACGCAATCCCTCTTTATTTCTCTATAAACTTATTTTATTCGAAAAAATAAAATTTTGAAAAAGCCGAAAATTTTGCTGCTGTATTTTTCGGTATCGGTATTTTTTGGTATACAAACACCGAATACCTAAAACACCATTTGCCGAACACCAATATTTATTCTGACAAATAAAAAATTAACTAATACGTTCTCTCCATTCATAATTAAAATTAATTTGTCTTCGAATAGTCGGATTAATCATATCTTCAGATTCACGATGATACCAAATAGAAACAAAAGTATTTCGTTTAAAAAGAGAATTAGAAATTTTCGAAACAAGAAATTCCATTTTATTTTCAAAGCCAACATCTGTTGAATTTAGTCTTAGGGTAAAACAAATTTTTGATTTTGTGCTATTAAATTATTTTTTTATAAAAATACCTTTCACAAGAAATTATTTTTTCGTTAAAATTTCTGGAACAAACTTCAACAAAATCTTTATTGTCAATCAAGGAAAGATTGAAGTTAACCAGAAGACGACGATAAAATTTTGAGTCCTGGATAAGTTTATACATACCGTATTTACTGAAATAGTACGGCCGGCCGTACTATTTTTCAACCCCCTTCCAAAGGGCCGTACTATTTGAGGGGGCCGTTCTAATAAAGGGGGCCGTACTATATTTAAACCCTCCTTCGGAATTTTCTGAATAATTTTTTGGTTGTGCCACCCTAAACTAAGTCTGTGTATATAGAGTATTTCTTTGTTTTTTATTATACACCAACAAAATCCTTTTTAATCCACCGATATCTACCCTGGTCCTCACAAATCCAACGTTATCTCCCTTGATCCCATAAATACTCAGGTACGCCTACGCCTACAATTCCTCCAAAATCCTTTTTAATCTTTCACTCCTTAGATATTTCTCAAATCCCTTTATATGCCTGTTAGCCTTCAAATAACTTAACTTCTAATCCTTCTATACCCACATGTGGAGGATATTATTTATTAGGCATTAAATGATCTTTAAATAAACTTAAATTAGCGCCTGAAGTTAATTACCTTCATTTAAATTATGATGATGATTGAATAAAAATTTTTTTGAAAAAGGACTCGAAAAACTCGACCCGCTCGAAAAAAATCTTAGCTCGAAAAACTCGCTCGAAAAAACCAAATTCGAAAAACTTGAAAAGAAACCGAATCGAAAAAATCAAAACCCGAAAAAATGCAACGAACGTCGGCAAGAACCGAAAACGGCAACCCTACAAACGGTCGGCAAGACCATTTTTTCCCAGTTTGCAGACCCCTCAAATTTAAATTTAGTAAAGGATTCAGTTCTCTTGTAAAGGATTCAGTTCTCTTCTTCGGTTCGGTTTCAGATATCCGATTTTTCACCGTTGTATACACCTCAGTTGTCTTAATAGTTTAATAAAAAAGATGTATTTAACTCTCGACTCTCGGCTTTTTTTAACTCCCGACCATCAATACTATACTACTAAAATTTCATAAAACCAGCTTAATATTGTGAGGATAATTAATATAATTTAAAGAGAAGATTTTTACTATTTTTTCATGGGGCCGTACTAATAAGGGGGCCGTACTAATTGAGGGGGCCGTACTATTTTTCAACCCCCATCGAAATGGCCGTACTATTTGAGGGGGCCGTTCTAATAAAGGGGGCCGTACTATTTCAGTAAATACGGTATGTACTATTTTTACACAAAAAAGCAAACTTTAGGAGGTCTGATTTCCCAAAAGCAGTCCATAAAAGGGCATTTTTGGCCAAAAAACTTTTTTTCAACTGAATTATTTTTTACGTCAAAAATTTTTAAATTGTTTAAAGTATCATGGCATAAACATTCTTTAAAAAAATTTTTTTTAATTTTATTTAATATTTTTTCACCTTTATTTCTATTAATATATTTAATTGTCAGATTAAATCCGGAATCGACATTTACTTCGTTAGTAGTAAAATTTAAAATAAATTTTGATGAATCAGATGTAAAAAATTTTATTTTCTCTGCATCGCCTCCAAAACTGAAAAAAATTTAATTTGTTAAGGCTTTCTTGATAAAAATATTTTTTTATTAATTAAAAGATATGCATATATTGGAATAAAAACTGATTTTTCGCAGGTCTTTTGTAGTTGTACCTGATTGTTTTCAATGATATCTTAACAAGCACAAACTTTGAAAAGTATTAAAAAGTTTCTGGGTAATATTAATAGAGTTAGGATATTTTATTCTCTCCTTATATCTCGTGCTTGGATACCTCTCTTCATGCCCCCTGGTTCTTGGAAGACGTTAAGACGTACAATTCTGAGATACGAGCCAAAAATGGGAATATATGAGCTAAGAATACGATCAAATGTGATCCCAGCAATACCAGCTCCCTAAAACTGGGAATTCTAATCTTTCTGCACGGATTTTTGCTATAATTCCTATTTCTAATTTTCTGGCTAAAACTCTTCCAAATTGCGCAAACTTCAAGTATTAATAAATCTTTTTTATTAGTTAATAGCACAGAAATCCTCATAGAACCTACGATATATTGAAGCTATCTTTCGTTACGTCAGGTATTTTTAAATGTAAAAGGTCCTTTTCTACTTCAGTCTGGAAAGAGTTAAATTGAATTTGTAAACTTTCCACATATTCTCTTGTAATGTGAGGACTTTCTAAAGAAATTTGAGTAGAACAATTAAGATTGTGACAATATTCTGGAAAGCCTGGTGAGAGTAAATTCAATGGATGAACTCGACAAAGTGTTAAATTATTTGGGAAACAGTCACAATCTGAAAAATTTTAGATTTTTATTTACAAATTCTATAAATGAAAATGTATGACTCTTGTCGAAAGCATTTTTTAACTCTCGAACATCACTAACACATATACAGTAAATGATAGTTTAAAATAATTTACGTTTTTTAACAGCAACAAATTCAATTTGATAAGGAGCTTTCCTATCATACAAATCAAATACACTAATTAATACACTCACAGATCCAGTTTTACTTGTTAACGTTGAAGGAAATGAATTAAATGAAGAAAACCTTTCAATTCTAAAAAATATAGATATTAAAAAATATTTTTATTATAACTTTGTTAGCTGCCCTTCTTGATATACCTCATAAGGATTGGGATGACCTTCAGCTTCAAAAACCTATAAAAGTTTCAAATTTTTTAGTTCCGGATATATCAATTGCGGATAAAAATTTAAAAATGAAATAAAAATATTGAGTTGACGGTTTTCTAATAATTTTTGAATTAATGCGATATGGAAATTTCAACAACTAGGGAAAATTTATCCGAACTTGGTAGTACCTTTACTCCAAACTCTGAACTTTTGTTGATACTTCCAATTGTAAGCTTTATTTCTTGTGCAGAATTTATAGAGAATGTGCATGTCTTTATGAATTGAAGCGGAAGTGCTGGAAGATATTGAGTAGAATTGGTTGCAAAATGATTAGGTCGTGGACATGGAACGTTTGAAATTTTTTAATAAAAAATAATAACTTCTACATATTGTCAACATCCAGATTACAAAATTTTTGATGTTTTAATTTAGGGAAGCACCCCGCCAGACCAGCACGAAACGTTTCGTTTCGTATGTTTCGAAGACTTTTTTGAGTATCGTTTTGTTTCGTTATGATACCCATTATTTGTTAATAAATGAAAAAATTAATGAGATTTTCCTTAACTCAACCTACACGCTTATCGTTAGATCGTGGTTCGGGTCGGGGTTTTTGCCATAAAAAGGGTCGGAGGTTCAGGGAACGGAGAGCTACCATATGTTAAATAACTACTCTATTTTCAGTATCTCAGATTTAAAAAATTTTTAATTAACTTACAAGTCTAATATCGCAAGCTTTAATACAAAATTTTAAAGAAAACTTATCTCCTGATTTTCGAGAAAAGCTTATTTCAAATCCACGGAAATTGCTAGTAGTATCGTCTGTAATAAAATGGAAAAGAAGTCCATCGTTAATTGCCGATGATAAACGAAGATGCTTTATTGGCACATTATCAAAGGATTCGCCGCTGAGGCTGAAGCAAAATATAATTTTTTGGGTATTTTTGTGACCCTCCCACGTTTGAATAATAGTTTTTTCCATTATTCCACTACCATCCATTATCCTTACCGTGCCATTTTGGTCAAGCAATATTTGTATTTGAAAATTTTAAAAAATAATTGTATTGCTTGACCAAATACCGTATTTACTGAAATAGTACGGCCCCCTTTATTAGAACGGCCCCCTCAAATAGTACGGCCATTTCGATGGGGGTTGAAAAATAGTACGGCCCCCTCAATTAGTACGGCCCCCTTATTAGTACGGCCCCATGAAAAAATAGTAAAAATCTTCTCTTTAAATTATATTAATTATCCTCACAATATTAAGCTGGTTTTATGAAATTTTAGTAGTATAGTATTGATGGTCGGGAGTTAAAAAAAGCCGAGAGTCGAGAGTTAAATACATCTTTTTTATTAAACTATTAAGACAACTGAGGTGTATACAACGGTGAAAAATCGGATATCTGAAACCGAACCGAAGAAGAGAACTGAATCCTTTACAAGAGAACTGAATCCTTTACTAAATTTAAATTTGAGGGGTCTGCAAACTGGGAAAAAATGGTCTTGCCGACCGTTTGTAGGGTTGCCGTTTTCGGTTCTTGCCGACGTTCGTTGCATTTTTTCGGGTTTTGATTTTTTCGATTCGGTTTCTTTTCAAGTTTTTCGAATTTGGTTTTTTCGAGCGAGTTTTTCGAGCTAAGATTTTTTTCGAGCGGGTCGAGTTTTTCGAGTCCTTTTTCAAAAAAATTTTTATTCAATCATCATCATAATTTAAATGAAGGTAATTAACTTCAGGCGCTAATTTAAGTTTATTTAAAGATCATTTAATGCCTAATAAATAATATCCTCCACATGTGGGTATAGAAGGATTAGAAGTTAAGTTATTTGAAGGCTAACAGGCATATAAAGGGATTTGAGAAATATCTAAGGAGTGAAAGATTAAAAAGGATTTTGGAGGAATTGTAGGCGTAGGCGTACCTGAGTATTTATGGGATCAAGGGAGATAACGTTGGATTTGTGAGGACCAGGGTAGATATCGGTGGATTAAAAAGGATTTTGTTGGTGTATAATAAAAAACAAAGAAATACTCTATATACACAGACTTAGTTTAGGGTGGCACAACCAAAAAATTATTCAGAAAATTCCGAAGGAGGGTTTAAATATAGTACGGCCCCCTTTATTAGAACGGCCCCCTCAAATAGTACGGCCCTTTGGAAGGGGGTTGAAAAATAGTACGGCCGGCCGTACTATTTCAGTAAATACGGTACATATAACCAAAAATGGAGAGAAGGATAAAATTGTCACCTAAACTAGCTGGGTGATATCCAAAAATCACTAATTTTTGTTTAAAAAATATGTAATTTTTTGACCTCGCGTGTTTAACTCGGATTAACTCTGACCCATTCCATCTAGTTTCCAAAAAGTCGTATTGTTGCTCTGTCTGAAACTCTTACTAATTATAAGATAAATCGAATCACCACAAATGTTTTGAATTCCGCATAAACAAAGGTATTTTCTGCTGGTTGAATGTTCCATTTACAATCAAGAAAATCACAGTATCTAGAGGGGTCTATAATGGAAAAAAGTCCTCTGATTTTAATTATTCCGATACTCACATCCAGGGCTTTTGAATACACCTTCATTCACATTACTATCAAAAACTTTTTCTCTAGAACAGTGACAACGACCATCAATAGTTTCAATAAAAATGATGAAAATTAATGATTGTAGTAGGAGTAAAATAAATATTGGATTATAATAAAGCATGTTTAAAGAGTATATTCTCGTTAATAAATATCAGAATTATACAAGATTAATATTTTAATGACTTTATGAGAAAAGAAATCAAGTTTTGAGTATTTAACAAAATTCTGATTAGAACAGAATTTTTTATTAAACTTGAATTAAAGTTTAAACTTGAAATGAATTAGGTTAAACTTGTACACTTAAAACTTGATTAAATTAAATTTAAATACACTTAAAACTTTTGAACTTGAAATTTACTAGTTCAAACTTAAAAACTTAAATTAAAGTTTAAGCTTGAATTAAATTCAAGTTTAATTCTGGTTTTTTAAGTAACTAAAGTTAAATGAAAATTCTGATTGTTTTAAATTAAATAAATAATTGAACTTTAAAATTATGATTATTAAGTTAATTAGGGAATAACTTAAATTTAAGTTTCTTTAAAAAATAAAAGTTTTTATAAAGCCATTATTAATATTATCTACTGAAAGAAATAATAAACAAAATATCTCTTTTGTGTAAAATATCATCGTCCAGAACACAAATTATTCAAAAAATAATCTTTAGTGATACAGATCAAATAAACATATTTAATGAATCATTTGTTGAAATGGGATGGAAAGATGTGTTTTGTTGTATAATAGGAGGGTAGGGGAAGGAAGAAATTTATCCTCCTATTCAACTGTCACAAAAAATGTTCGGCATAAATTATTTATTTAAAAATAATAGTGGATACATTAAACAAAATTTTAAAAACATATATCTAATCTTTGTGTTTTGCGGCCTGTTTTTAAATGTTCAAAGAAAAAAAATTTTCTAAAGCAAAATTATTCTTCTTTAAAATGGTTGGTAACAGAAGGTGGTGAAAATAAGCTTGAATTCTAGTTGAAAATTTGAAAAATAGACTTTTTGTAAAATCAGAAAAAAAAATTTTTAATCAGAATTTTTGTTTATTAAAGAAATTTTTTTAATTTAAAAAAAATTCTTGGAAAATAGCCCTCCTAGTTATCAAAAAAACAAAAAAAAATTTATAAAAAAAATAATTTCAACTCATCAATTCCATCTTGGCCTAGCACAAGCTTTACTGTACATATTATTAAAATAAATTTTTGTCAAATAAATTAATTTTAATGGGATTTATTCATTACAAAATATTATTCATTAAAAAAAAAGAATAATCTCATTTATTATCGTCAACTGGTTCTGATTGTTCTGAATTATCATTGCGAGTAAAACGAACAGAAGTAGAACTATCCAATAACTAGAAAATTAAATTCTGATATTTTAAAATCTATTTAAAAATTAATTCTGATTTAAAATTTATTTGTTCTGATTTTTAAAACAGAATTTTATTCTAAAATTTCAAAATTCTGAAATTTACAAATATTATGGTTTTTATATTATAGTTCTGGATTTACTAAACAGGAATTCTGGTTAAAATTTTAAGAAATTCTGATTAGTATTTCTGGTTAGTATTTTAAACCAGAATTTAAAAATAAGTATTACTACATATTAGTGATTTTAATTTGGGTAGTAAAGGAACAACAAAGAACAGGCAATAATTTTCAGAATTTTGAAAGGTCAAGAGGCCAGATTTCTCTATTTCTCAGAAAAAGGCCATTGTTAGGTGGTGTATATTTAGCCTCGTGGCGAGGCCTTGACGGCCTCGAGTTGAATAGAAAAATTCTGAAATCTTTTTGAAAGCAGAATTTACATAAGATTAAAATTCTGACTTTAAATTCTAGTTTATAAATTATGATATTAAAAATATTCTGATCTAATTCTGAATTCGTAAATAAAATTCTGATTATAGGTATGTTATTTTAAAATTTCCTACCAGCTTTGTACCATAATGCAAATCCACTCATTTGAGTATTAATATCAGAATGGAATGAAATTGTCATTGTATTTTGATAACTTTTTATTATATTTTTCGGGGTAATCCTTCCAGATAGCCTTAAAAAATTATTTTATTATTTCAATTGTAAATTAAAAATTCTGATTTTTCAGAATTTCTCTGAAATTTTCTAATTTTTCAAAAATCAGAATTCTGGTTTTAAAATCAGAATTAAAAAAATTAACATTTCCAAATGTTTCTGATTTGTGTCAACTCCATCAAAAATTGTTACAAAATCTTGATTCTCTTCAGTATTAAATTTTGAAATATTAACAAATATTTGATAGCCTTCTGGAGCTTCTAAATGCCATAAACAATTCATTGAAGCACAATAAGTTTTTGGATGCTCAGGGGAATATAAAACTTTCCATTTCACTTTGTCCGCTTTTAAATGAATGTCTCCACATTTACATTCTACATATTACAAATTAAAATTTAATGAAAAAAATTTAAGATCAGAAAATATCTCTTAATACTTCAGAATTTCGCCTGCGGCACTGACTTCTATATCACTCCATGGGGACTTAACTCAGGGGACACAACAATTAATCAACAATTAAAAATTTTATGGGGGAGAGAGCTTATTTTGGAGGGGGGAGGATTTATTACTTATTTATTACTTTTATTACTTATTTTCTCGATCGACCTCTAGAGGTGGCTTATTTTAGAGGGTGAGGGCTTATTTTAGAGGGAGGACTATTTTAGAGGAAATACGGTATATCCTCGGATATGCCTCAAAATTTGCACGGATATTAACGGATACGGATATTGACCTCACGGATATACATAGCCAGATACGGACACCAAAATTCGTGTCTTCAATCCATGTATTTAGAAAACGATTAGCATTAAGAGAAATTTATAGATGGTTAATAAGATGCAATTTAAAATAATTACCATGCTTAACAGCAATAAATTCAATTTCATAAGGAATTATACTATTATTCAGATCAAATGAACTAATTAATATGCTCACAGATTTGGTTCTACTTGTTATAATTAAAGGAAATGCATCATAAGTAGAATATTGCTCAATTCTAGTAAATTATAGATAAAAATTATTTAATTTTTTAATCAAAACTTTGCCAACAGTCCTTCCTGATCTTCCTCATAATAATCAGAAAAACTTCCAGTTTCATAAACCTAAAGAAATTTCAAATTACAGGGTGGGGCAAAAGTTCGGCGACAAATTTTATTATGTCCTTTCTTAAAATTTACTTTATATTTTGCTTTGTTTTTAGATTTTCCATATTCTATGATTCACGCTCTACACATTTTATCTTGAAAATTTTTTCCTATCTCATAAAGTAAAAATTTTACAGAATGTTAAAGAATCGTGCTTCTATTATTTCTTTGTTTTTTAAAAATGTTCGAAAATGTGACATCGCTAAACGGCTCGATATCTGTCGTATGCTAGTTTCCAAAGCAATAAAACGATATCATGAGCTTGGAAATACTAAGGACCATCCTAGTAGTGGCCGGCCTGTAACCGCAGTTACGCCTGAAAGCATAAACGTGGTCAGATGCCAAATTCGTCATTTTTCCGATCAATCGATGTGTAAAACGGCCTCAGATCTCGGAATGAGCCCAAGGAGCCCCCAAAGAATTGTCAGAGTGAAGCTTAGACTTCGAAGCTAAAAGATCAGCCGCGCATATTTCCTTATCTATCGAATGAAGCATCAGAAGCTTCAGAAATGTCGAAGGATTAAACGCCTGGTCGCAGCTGGTCGCCATAACAGAGTGATGAAATGTAAAAATTAATGCTAGTCTAAAAATGGCATTCTGAGGGGGGTTATGCATCCTTGGGCGTTATAGCATTACGGAGAAAACCAATTCTCGCTTCAGAAGGATTGAGCACCCGCGCATGGAGCCAAAACGACAATCCAGCTCTGTGGGGAGCTGTTTCCCGGTTTTTGGGGGAAAGATTTGAGGCCTTCAAACTCACTGGATTTAAGTCAGTGGATTATTCTATTTGGGCATTTCTGGAGCAAAAAGTATGCCGAATCCGATACGCAACATCGGAGGAACTGAAAATTGTTTTGGGCGGGCCTGGAACGAAATAACCGATGAACTATGCGCGACCATTGTGAGTAACATCCGTAAGTGTTTGGATGCGTGTATTTCAGTGAGGGTCGGTCATTTTGAGAAATTACTTTAACAAAATGATTATTATATCCTATTGATTATATTTTATCATTTTTTAATCTTAAATAAAATTTTTTTACAAAAGATTTTATTAAAAACATTTGTCGCCGAACTTTTGCCCCACCCTGTATTTATTTTTATTTTCAATGCTAATGGGTTAATAATTACGCCAGTTGAAATTTCATTATAGAAGATAGGAGAACCAATAATCGAGACAGTATTTTGAAATTAACACAAAATAAAGGGAAAACATCCGAACATAGACAGTAGTGTTGCGCCGGAAGCTTCGGTTCCGCAGGCCGGAAGTTCCGGGATTTTTGGTTCCAGTTTGTATGTAACGTTACGGATCCAGTCAAAATTTAAGTTCCAGTTCTTGCCAAATTTGCGGTTCCGACGCAACACTAATAGACAGCCAATAATTAGAACACCTTAATTCCGAAATTTGATGTTTTATTAACACGGTTGATTTTAAGCCTTATTTCTTGCGTAGAATTTATAGAAAAGATGCATGTCTGTAAGAATCCAAGACGAAATGCCGGGAGATATTGAGTTGAATTGGTTGCAAAATAAAAAGGTTGAGGGCATGGATGATAAGTACTATTGTTTGAAAAATAAAAATTCTTAATAAAATTTAACAAAAAACTTATCTTCAGATCTACGGTAAAAGCTAATTTCAAATCTATAGTTGATGTTTGTGTGTGATCTTGCATATCTACTATTGCAGTTTGTAGAAAGATTGAAAAAAAATCCTCCATTAACTGACGATGAAAAACGATAATGTTCCAATGGCACACTATCATAAGAGAGGCTGAATCAGAAAAAATAATTTTTTTATTTGAAAACAAGTATAGGTAATTATAACCTAGCCTGTTTAACTTTTATTAACTCTGAACCATTCCATCTTGTCTGATAAACATCCAAACTGTCATATCTTTCATCTGTCTGAAACTTAATTAAAAATAAATCCCCAAGTCAAATCACCTTAATTGCTTTCAACTTAACATAAATAAAACTATTTTCTTTTGGGGGAATATTCCAATTACAATTAGTTGGAGAACAATAATGGAAGGGAGATCCTTTAAATACACCTTCTTTCAAGTCAATATCAACAATTTCTTCTTCATAACATTTGTTATTAGCTTCAGTAGATTCAACAAAAATAATACATAATAGAAGCAAAATAAATTTTTGTTTACAAACAAACATTTTTAAAGAGTAATTCTGGTTAATGAAAATCAGAATTATTTTTTAATTCTGATAAATCAGAGAAATTAAGGTTTTCGAAGTTAAATAAAGTTCTGATTCTCTTAAAAACAGAATTTTTTTTATTAAACTTTAATTCAAGTTTAAACTTAAAATTAATTAGTTCAAGCTTAAAACTTGAATTTATTAAACCTGATTAAACTCAAAACTTAAAACTAAAAATTAGTTTAAAATTAAAACTTGAATCCAAGTTTTTAAATAAACTAAAGTTTAAACTTAAATTCAAGTTTGACTTAAAATTAAGCTTGAACTTAGAATTTATTTTTAAATTATAGTTTAAACTTGAAAACTTAAAACTTGAATTCAAGTAAACCAGAATTTAAGTTTAATTCAAGTTTAAACTTAAAATTAATTAATTATTAATCTACACTTAAAACTTGAATAAACTTAAAACTTAAAAACTTGAAAGTAGTACAAACTTAGAAGTTGAATTCAAGTTCAAACTTAAATTAATTCTGTTTTAATTAATTCTGATTTTTTAAATATGTAGATGGAAATTCTGATTATATTGGAGAAACAAAGGACGGAAAATATTAAAATAGTGTAAAATAACTTTGTCCAGAATACATATAGATTATTCATAAAAACAATCTTTAGTTTATAAGGATCAAATAAACATTTAATGAATCATTGTTGAAAAGGATAGGAAAAATGTGATTTGTTGTAAAAATAGGAAGTAGAGGGAAGGAAAAAAATTTAAAGCAAAATTAATGTATTTTTTAAATGTTAGGCTAATAGTTGGTAGTGGGAAATAAATGATGTAAAAAAATTTTATTCCGTAATAGCTATCAATAAAAAATAAAATTGAATTTATTTGAAAAAGTAGTACCTAATTCTGAAAGAAATTAGGAAAACTTTAAACTGTATAATAAATTAATTAGTATTTGTCACATCTTTAAAGGGACCTTTTGCAAAACTCATTTCCAAAAATATACCAAGTATCAAAAATCCTCAAACCGGGATCAAAAAGGTGTTTATATCAACCCTGGTTAGAAATTATTGAAGTTTGGGTTAGTGTTTATTTTAAAAAAAATTTTGTTTGCTTAATATTAATAAATTCAAATATTATTTTATTTAAGTTTAAAAGAATTTCTTAAATTAAAATAATTTTATAGAATATAGGTAATTTTTGGGACGTGGGCTGTGCGCAGGCCCACTAAAATTATTGTGGATGGTCAATTTTCCAATACCTATATCCAATGCCGCTTAGAGAAATCTGGAATCTTTGCCAAATTTTTAGCTAACCCGGACCGAAACCCGATCCGAAAGACGAAACCCAGTCCTTCGGTAAATTTAAAAATCCCGTAAAAATCCTTTCTAGAGTAATTTTCGGTGCCGATCATGAATCTGAACTCAGATTTTATCCAACACTTGATTTTACAACGATTTTTTATCAAGTACAAGCATTCATCAAGTACAAGAATTGTGTCATTCGAAGAGCTCTGAAAGCTAAGAACTAGTGTAGCGAAGCCGGTACGGTACCTAAGGAACGGATATGGTCACTTGAAAATCAATAAACCATAACATTGCTCTTTTTTAAAATTAGAAATTCGAATACGCATATCATCCGGAAACGCTCTTCGAGCTGACATGAGTCGAATAACACAAAAATTAAAGCCCCCGAAAATTTAAAAACCATAGAGGGCAGTAGTCTCATTTTAGGTCAGCAAATCAGATACCAAGAAAAATTTTAAAGAATTAAATATAAGAATAAAAATACTTTCTAATCAGGTTAGTAAAATCATCCCTTAGTCGTCAAAAGAAATATTTTTTAAATTATAACAGAAAATTTATCAAAAATAATTGTACAGAATTAATAACATTTTTTAAAAATTTTCTTTCTTATTTTCTCTCTGTCCATTAAAAATTTTTAAAATTGTTTAAAGTCTTTAAAAAAATATTTAGTTTTCTAAATTAAAATATTTTTACTTCAATTTCTTTTAATATTTTTTAATAGTAATTCTAAATTATTTAAAATAAACATAAAATTTTTAAAATAAATTACTATTTTCAACAGCAACAAATTCAATTGAATAAGGAATTATTCCATTAAGTAGATCATACGAACTAAGAAATATACTCACTGATCCGGTTCCGCTTGTTAAGGTTAAAGGAAATGTGTTTAAAGGAAAGTATTTTTTAATTCTATAAAATTTTTAAAATTATTTCATTTTTTTGGTTATAAAACTTTTTCAACTGTCCTCTTTGATCCTTGTCATAAGGTTTAGGAAAATTTTCAGTTTCAAAAACCTGAAAAAATTTTTTAATTTACATATTAATCTATCTAGTTAACAACTAGTGTTGTCGTCGGATATCCAAAACCGAACCGAAGAACCGAACCGAAAAATCCTCGGTTCTTCGGTTCGGTTCAGAACCGACAACCCTATTAACAACGCTGAAGGTTTAATATTGGATATACTCAGGATATTGGGAAAAAAATAGTGGTAAAGACGGAATTTCGGAAAAAAATACGAAACTACAGGGGAATCAATCTAACTAAGCATAGTCAGTAGGGATGTGACGGGTCAACTGAAACCTCGAATTTTTTTTCAAAAATAGCTGCAACCTAGCTACTTTCCCTCTTAATCCCCATACCGAAATCCCTAAACCGACCCCCAACATGAAACTCGATCAAACCCATCCCCCTTGATAAGGCACTCAACTTTTAGTACCTCAATTCCAAACAGTTCACTTTCGCTTAGAGCTCTGATTGTAAGCTTTATTTCTTGTGTAGAATTTATAGAGAAGATGCATGTCCCTAAGAACTCAAGAGGAAATACTGGAAGGTATTGAGGAATATTGGTTGCAAACTGAAAAGGTTGAGGGCATGGAAGGTTGCGGGCACTTGAAAAGACTTTTTATAATTATTTTTAACAGAAAACTTATTTTCGGATTTTCGAAAAAAATGAATTTCGAATCCACGGTGATTCACACGGTTGTCTGTAATAAAATGGAATAAAAGTCCTCCGTTAATTGATGAGGAAAAATGGAAATATTCCATGGGCGCATTTTTGCCGCTGAGGCTGAAGCAGAAAATTTATTTTTGCTTTGAAACAAAAATGTCTGTTCAGACCTAGCCTGTTTAACTTTCATTAAATTTGAATCATTCCATCTTGTTTGGTAAACATCCAAAAAGTCAACTCTTTCCTCTGTCTGAAACTCTTACTAATTATAAATACCTAAATTAAACTTTCTGACCTCAAATAATTTCAATTCAGCATAAATAAAAGTATTATATGCTGGCTGAATGGTCCACTTACAATCAAGTGACTCACAGTATTCGTTGGGGTCTATAATGGAAAAAGTGTGATAATCAGAATAATTCTGATTTAGAATATTGATTATTCCCATACTTACATCCGGGGCTTTTGATTACACCCTCTCTCACATTACTTTCAAAAATTTTTTCTTTAGGGCAGGAACAATCATTGTCGATAGAAGCAAAATTAATGGGAATTAATAATTGTAGTAGAAGCAAAATAAATATTTGATTATAATAAAGCATTATTAAAGAGTATTCTGGTCAATATAAATCAGAATTAAAGAAAATACTTTCTGAGTATTTAAACAAAATTCTGATTTTAATTCATAAAATCAGAATTTTTTAGAAACTTGAATTCTAGTTCAAACTTGAAATGAATTAGCTCAAACTTAAAACTTTAATTCAAGTTTAAGCTTAAAATTAATTAGTTGTTAATCTTAAAACTTGAAAACTTAAGCAAACTTAAGACTTAAAAACTTAAATTCAAGTTTAAGCTTAAAATCAATTAGTGTTAATCTTAAAACTTGAAAACTTTAATAAACTTAAAACATATAAACCTAAAAAAATAAACTTGAACGTTGAATTCAAGTTTTTACATAAATTAAAGCTTAAACTTAAACTTAAGTTATAATTAAGTTTAAACTTGAAATAAATTCTGTTATAATTCTGATTTTTTAATCAAACGAATTTAAGTTCAAACTTAAAAATTCTGATTATTAGTGTAATTAATCCTAGATATTAAAGTTTCTATAGAAAATATCAGAATTAAAATATTAAATAACATTTATAGTCAATACTATGAATAAACTTTATTTATACAATAGTGATTGAAATAAACAAAACTTTAAAAGCAATATCAATCTTATAAAAAATATTCGGAATAGTAGGTAGTAAGAATAAACTTGAATTATAAATAGTTTCAAATTTCCTACAAATTTTGCCCGAGGCCCAGAAGATGGAAGAAATTTGGCTTCTAGCTCTACATATTTAATTTAAAACGTATTTTTCTTTGCAAGCGACTCTATCGATATCTCGTATATCAACCTTAATCCCTCTAACTACCCATATATCCTTAATAATCCATCCTAATTCAACTATATCGAGTTCTCACTAATTTCACCTGCGGTTTCTCACAAATTTCATTTTCATAACAATTTTCATTTCATAATTTCTCACAAATTTCATAGCTTTATATCCTCCTTAATCCCTCCAAATTATAAAGGATAACCAGTTATCCTTCATAATTCTTCAAAATCCTTATATTTTCCGCTAATAACAATTTATACACATAAAAAACACGCATCTTACAAAATTTTAACACAAAAATTAATAATAAAATTTTTTTGGAAAATCCGGAAAAATCCCGGATTCGGTCCCGGAAATTATTTCTACCTGATTAAAACCGGACCGGATTAATCCGGAAACAGCCGGCCGGGTCCGGTCCGGCATAAGTTGCAAATCCGGAATCAAGATGCAGAAGAATCGATTTCTCCGCAGTGTTTGCTTTTAAAAATTTTGTTTGCTTAATATTAATAAATTCAAATACTATTTTATATAAGTTTAAAAGAATGATTGAAGTTAAATAATGCTGTTAGAAGATAATTTTTGGAACGTGGGTTATGCGCAGGCCCACTTGAAATTATTGTATAATTAATCAATTTTTTGTCGTGGAACTTTGCGGACACGAATTTTGCGGGCCCGAAAATTACGGACTCGAAATTTGCGGAACGAAAGTTGCGTACCCGAAGGTTGCGGACACGAAGTTTGCGAACCTGATTTTTGCGGAACCAAGATTTTAGGACCGACACTCGAGTAAGAACGAAAAATTAAAAATTTTATTTTTCGATGATCCCGGCAGAGTTTATCAAGATCCGTACCAGATCAAGATTTTTTCTTGATTTTTCCAAATTTTTATCAATTTTTTATCTTAAAATTATTTCATAATTTAAATAATCGAAAAAATTCCTTGAAGAAATCATTTATTTGGCCATCTCATAAGGTCATGATGCCTGAATTCATCCTAATTAACGCCGCAGGCTAAAATTTTTGAAATTTCCGAAGTTCAGTAAAGTTCAGTAGACAAATCTAAGATCCGCAAAATTCGGGTCCGCATAGTTCGGGTCCGCAAAGTTCGGGTCCGCAAATTAAAATCCGCAAATTTCGGCGCGCCTAATTTTTCAATCATTTAACAATTTAAGTTAAAAACCCCTCGCAAACGACTGTGAAGAAATGGCGAAATTAATGTTTCTGTTGTTGGTTTGCGAGACCGACTTAATATTACGAAGTGGATTTATATCAGGGCTGGGCTCAATTGCGAGTTGCGGATTTTTAAAAAGAAATTGCGAGTTGCGGTATCTTTTTTTTCGATTGCGCCCAGCCCTGATTTGGACGGATTAAAGGAAATATCAGCGGGCTGTATTCTACATCAATGGATCAAGAGGGATATAGGTGGATTTTACGGTTTATCTGTAATATAAGAGTATTAAAGAGTATCAAACTTGAATTATGGTTGTAGATTTGAAAATCAGAATTTTCCTCTACTAAAGAAAAATTTTCTCAATTTATTAAAAAAATCGCCCCTAACCATCAACAAAAATTTTTTAATGAGAAAAAATAATTTATCAAAAATAAGTATAAGTGAAGTTGTTTAAAAAAAAATAAGAGAGGTAAAGGCTTAGTTAATTGTTTTTTTTTAATTTACACAAGAGTACATTTTTTTTAAATTTTCTCTCAAATTCGATTAATTAGATTTTAAAGTCAATTGTCAAATGCCACCACAAAAAAAAATCATTTTAAAATTTGGTTACATTCCGTGGAGCATTTCCAACACTTCGTGAACTTGAAAAAAATTTTCTTAATTAGTTAAAAAATTATTTTTAAATTTAATTTACCGTCGCTGATAACGAGGATTAATAAAGCTTGGTGTTTTAGGTGTTCGATTAACTCCATAAAATTTAACTGTAGTTGCACCCTCAATTCGGCGTTTCTTTGGTGATGATTGGTCTCTACAAATTTTTTTTTAAATTTTTGAAAATTAAAAATCATTGTTAGGGAGTTTAAAAATTTCAAAAAAAAATTCAGAAATTTTTAAAAATTTTCTTATAAATTCAAGCTTCGTTCTTCGAAAGCCCAAAAAAATAAAAAAATTCTAGTCACACATTTTTTTATATTTTTCTCACATTTTAGGAGTTTTCCTTCCACCACCACTACCAACAACATCGTCTGTTTCCTGGTCAGTATCATCACTCCCATTATTATTACTTCCAAATTTTTTACGCAAACGGGCGACATTAGAAGTTGTTGGAATTGGTGATTCGAATAATTCAGCAACCTAAAAATTAAAAAAATTTTGAAAATAAAAAAATTTTATACGAAAGAGCTAAAAGAGTTTTTGGAAAATTTTGAAAAAAAAAATTAATTAAAAAAATATTTTTGCGAAGGAAAATTTTTTTTGCAGACTTGCATAAACGCCTTTTGTTAAAAAGTCGTCTGTTTAAAAAGCGTAACTATTTAAAAATTACACTAATTTTAAGGTTTTCAACCGATTAAAAATTTGTACATAAATTACTCAAAATTTAAAAAAAAAATCCGCAAAAATTGTCCGCAAAATGTTTATGAATTTACAACTGCCAAGAATTTCAAAAAGATATTTTTTTTCAATTTTTTCAAAAATTTTTTTCAATTTTAAACTTTACTAAAGCTCTAAAAAAATTATAAAATTTGAAAAAAGAATTCCTTCCCAAACCTTTTGTATAGTTCGCCGATTACTATTAAGTGCAGCTTCACGTTCAGCTTCCACATAACGCTGAGTTTCTCCACGTAGACGCTCTTGTTCTTGAGCATTTTCATATTTATATAAACGAACAAGTAAAGCTTTGTTTTCACGCTGGAAATAAAATTTTTTTTTGAAAATTTATAAAAAAAAATTCAAAAAAAACCTCCAGTTGTCGAATTTGTCCAGTTTGTGAAACATTTGCTTGTTTTAAACGAATAATTTCTTCTTCAGAATCTTTTAATTTTTGATAGTCTAAATCGGCATTACACAAACGCTGTTTTAATTTTGCTTCAAATATTTGGGCTGCAAAAAAATTTTTTTTAATTGAGAAAAAATATAAAAGAGGAATTTCTGGACTTATATGTTAGAGACACCTTCCTTCAATTTCCCTAAAAACTCAATCAAAAGGGATCATAAATTTGGGCAGTGTCTAAAGAAATTTGTTTGCGGACAAACTTTGCGGACAATTTCTTTTAAATTTTCTATAGGCATGTATTTGTACGTTTAACGTTCACCTTTACAAAATTAACATTTTTTCCATAAAAATAAATTCAGACTCTCTCTCTCATTTAAATTTTAAAAATGAGAAGAAAAAGTAAATTACGCATCACAATTTTTTCCTTTTTTTTTGTTACCCAAAATTGCCTTCTCTTAATTTATTTGGATCCCGCTTTATTCCTACCATAAGTTGCCCGAAATCAAACAAAGAGAGCCCTTTATTCCAAAGAGAGTCCTTTATTTCAGATATCCATTATAATAAAAATGGATATCCAAAAAAATTGAGGAGCCCTTTATTCCAAAAAAAATAAAAAAAAAACTTACAATTCTGCTCAACCGACTCCAAAAACCCTTTCTTTTGAGCCAATAAATTTGTAAAATATTCCCGAATTCTTGAAAGAGATTCAATATCATTAGGTCCGTTAATTTTTAAATCGGGCATTTCTGACAAAAACGGGTCATCAATTTCCATTGTTTCAACTGCTGGTAAACGATCCTTAAGTTCCAAATACCTAAAAATTGAAGAAAATAAAAATGTCCGCAAATTTTGTCCGCAAGTTTAAATAAATTTTAAGGAAGCAAAAATTTCATGGGTGTTTTAAAAGGAAATTTATTTTAGAATAATAAATAAAAAAAGTAATTTATTAATGGTCTAATCCATAATTTTTAAAGAACCAGAAGACGTTATGTTTAAAAATTAAGTATAATAAAGTAATATTGCCATCGGCAAAAATGAATAAAAAAAATAACAAAAGAACATCTTCTTGAGTTTTCTCTCCCCTCATGTTAAAGCAAAAAAAAAAACCCAAGCAAGACGATATTATTACTTTTTAAACACATTTTTTGATGAAAAGATGGAAAAAAAACTTGCGGACAAAATTTTGCGGATTTTTAAATATTTCCCTCGAAAATTTTCAGAAAAATCAAAAAACAAACCATTTCATCCATTCTTTTCTTGGGTGAGTAAAATTAGAAAAATCAGTTAACGGCGAAATAAAACAACAGTCCTCGTTTGTCGCATCATTTCCAACATTTACTCCTCGAAAATTTCTTTTTGAAATATCCTAATATTTTTTAAAATTTATAAAATTTATTTTAAACTTAAAAATAACCTCCTCTTTAAGTCCTCTAAAGAATTTTGCATTAATATCCTCATTAACTTTGGCACGACAAACAATTTGTTTAGCACTATCAGCATATCTTTTAATTTATTAAATAGAATAATTTTAAAAAAAAATCAGAAAAAAATTTTCAAAAATTTTTTTTTCGAAAAAAAATTTCAAAGAAAAAATTCAAAAAAAAAATTTTTCAAAAATTTTTTCCAAAAAAATTCACCGAAAAAACATTTCAAAAAAAAATTTCAAAAAATTCTTGGTAAAGAATTAACCAAAAAAAAAATTATTTTTTCAAAAATTAAAGAAAACCTCAATGTACTCAAAGTCTCTTCAAAATTAATTTCAGCAGGACTAATCGCAGCAATCATTGCAGTTTTTGAATTTCCTCCAAGAGATTCCTTTAAAAGCCATGTCAACACAGAATCCTACAAAAAATTTAAAAAATTTCTCTTTTTTAACCACCCAAATCCAAACCCGATAAGGTATGACAGCCGCCCTAGGTTGTTGTTTTCCTTTTCTTTTAGTTGATTGTTCAGCCAACTTTAAAATAAATTTTAAAATTTTTTTAAATTAATTTTTGAAAATAAAAAAAAACTTTTTTGATAACAAGTCCAAGTGTAGTTAAGCTTTTATTGATATTTGCACCTTCCTAAAAATTATTTTTTTTCTTTAAATATTTTTGAGAGAAAAGAAATACAGTCAAACCCCATTTTTAGATACCCCAAATAAGGGATTAAGATGTCGCAATGGCTTGTAAAAAAAGGATAACTTAAAGTCGGGGATCGCCAACTAATAATGGCCAAGAGCGTATCCAGGGGGCTGGGGGGCTAGAGCCCCCCCCCCCCCGAAATGGGGGAAAGGGGGAAAAAATTAGGAGAAGGATGGTCGAAAAAGTGAAATTTTTTCGTCTACAACCCTCAAATTTAAAAAAATTTTCGCCTGCGGCGCAGAAAAGATGAAAATTTATGTACAAAAAAATTTGCGTCCGGAACGCCAAGGTAAACGCCAAAAATTTTTGCACCCACCCAGTGTTAGCCCCCCCCCCCCCCGAAACCGACCCCCTGGATACGCCAACTAATAATGGCCAACCAAATGTATTGGGTATTTCTTAAAATAAAGTCTGACTGAATTAATAAATTTTAACCTTTAGTCTTTGACCTTCTGTTGAACCAGCCCTTTCGCTACCTGTTTTTTATTATGTGTAAAATTAAATATTTATATATTGGAATTGTTTACTACCGATGAATTTGAAAAAAGATTTCGAACATTTCTATACTCTAGGTTTTTCGGTACTTTCCTGTTATCGGCCCTCCATTTTTTCCCCCTTTTTTCTCAGCCTACTTGTGTACAGAATGGTCAGATTTTCTCTCTTTCTCAAATTCACTCCATTTCTCGGTGGCAACATAAACCGAAAAAAGATTCCCACAACCGAAAAGAAAGTTCTCCACTAACGTTCAATTTTTTGTGTATTCGTCGCGTCTTTAAGATTTTTTCTCAACTTTTCTTCATTAATGTCTCATTTGAATATGCCAATGGGAAATGGAGTGAATTTGAGAAAGAAAGAAAATCTGACCATTCTGTACAGCAGTAGGTTGAAAAAAGGGGAGAAAAATGGAGGGCCGATAACAGGAAAGTACCGGTTTTTCTAAAAACAGGCCAAATTATGTAAACCCCCCCCCCCGATTTAGGTTTAAGGTTTTATCGAGGATAATTTTTTAAAAATATAGCCATTTTCAAAAATTCTCAAAGTTAAAATCAGTAGTAAACACCCGTATCAGGGATGTCACGGGTTGAGAAAAATTCGGGTTTCGGATCGGGTTTTGAAAATTTTCTTCGGATCGGGTTTCGGGTAACCCGTGACATCCCTGACCCATATTATTCTATTTATTTTTTATTTCACTAACCAGCAAGATCGACCAACGAAATTTTGCTCACCTTAAGAAAAAAAAATAAAAACCCTTTTTTTCATTTAAAGAAATATACTTTTTCAGTATCCAAATTGTTAACATGCTCTCGTTGAGTAAGCACAATTGTAAAAATTGCATGTGAACGTGATGACGTTGAATTCATATTTGTAGCTGCTACTGTTCTTAAAATTATTTAAAAATTTATTAAAAAAAATTTTTTTTCATTAGAATAAAACCTGGCTTTATCCCCAGCATTCATTAATTCAAAAACACTTGAAAAATTAAATTAAAAAAAAAATTTTTTTTTAAGAAAAAAAATTTTTATACTCTTCATAAGACTTGACAGCAATTTTTTCAAGATTGTCAACATATGGACCCAAAACTGGATGTTCTCGAACTTTCAAATTATCATTCTTTGGACACAATAAATCCTTAACTTTCTCACAATAAATTTCCATATATGAAACCTAAAAAATAAAAAAAAATTTTAGAGGTGTCCAGGGCTGAAGATGTTCAAAATTCAATACAATTCCCAGCTGAGATTTTTAAGTTTTCCCGTTTATTGTCAGAATCCGGAATTTCCGAAGATTCATTGGTAATAGTTCGGTTGAAACCCCGCACTCTTTTTTCTGACCATTTTTACATATTTTCCAAAAAAATTGACTGGGGGGGGGGTGAATAAATAAGTACCCTTTTCTCATTCTTATATACATACATAATCCTCTTTAATACATACTTGCCTCGTGAAAAATAAAGGGGAAAGGGAAGGAAAAATGAAAAAATGGTCAGAAAAAAGAGTGCGGGGTCTCAACCGAACTATTACCGATTCATTCCCATTTTTGTGCCAAAAATTTTTTTTTGACTTTTCCCACTCGACTATATTCACTAAAAACTTGAAAAAGACGAGACCAAATCTCAGGCTTCATCTACGAACAGAAAACACCCACAAAAAAAACTCAAAATCACCCAACATCTAGGAAGCCCCAAAAACACCCAAAAAAATCTTTCTCAGCCCCATTTAAACAAAAAAACCTGTTTTACCTCTATATTATATTCAAGTTGCTGATTCTCCCTGTTTTCACTAATCCGACTAAAAATTTCGCGGCAAAGTCTTGGAATCATTCCCATTTCTTCAAGATCGTCCATCTTACCCACTAAAATTTATTATAAAAAAACAAAAAAATCAAATTTTACTCATTGTATATGACTTTCCAGAACCAGTTTGACCATAAGCAAATATACAAACATTGTATCTTTAGAAAAATTTTTTTATAGAAAAAAGTCCGCAAAATTTTGCGGACAAAAAATAAAAAATTTTGAATTTTCGGCAGAAAATCCGCAAAATTTTGCGGACAAAAAAATAAAAAATTCTGAATTTTCGGCAGAAAATCAACAAAATTTTGCGGACAAAAAATAAAAAATTCTGAATTTTCGGCAGAAAATCCGCAAAATTTTGCGGACAGCAAAAATTTCTGAAAAAAATTTCGGCAGAAAATCCGCAAAATTTAGCGGACAACAAAATAAAAAATTAACAAATAAAAAATTAAAATTAACCCATCAAAAGCGTGGTCAAGCATTTCAGAGCCTTGAGAAATTGAAAATTATTTTTACTTAAAAAATTAAAAAAAACCAATATCATCATAAATCATTTCCTGGGAAGCATAATTCACAGAAGTTTTGTCAAATGATGAATAAGAATAATCAAACTCAAAACTGTATGTTTGATTGGAGCTGCTTGTGATAACTTAAAGATAAATTATTAAACAAAATATAAGACAAAAAGGGAAACTGCGGACAGAAAAAAATGTCCGCAAAAACTTGCGGACAGAAAAAAATGTCCGCAAAAATTTGCGGACAGAAAAAAAAAGTCCGCAAAAATTTGCGGACAGAAAAAAAAGTCCGCAAAAAATTTGCAAAAGCCTCTCTTTTGTTAGTCCGATAACCACCAAAAACAGATTTATTTTCCGCTCAATTAACCCAAAACCAAATTTTTTAAAAAAATCTAAAAGTACATACATGTGGTTTGGTCTAACATATCGATCACACATTTGGAAGATAATTCTAAAAAAAAAAATTTAATTAAAATTAGAAAAATAAAAACAAACGTATTTCTCGACTATCAAAAGGCCTAACACGAACAGCCACTTTTAAAGAAGACATTTTTAATTGTTTTTTTATTTGTTATTAACTAAAAATAAAAGTTAAAAGAAATTAACTAGAAATCAATTTATGCTTTATGTAAATCAAAAAAAAAATAAAAAGAAAAAAAAAAGACAAGCCAATTTTGGGCTAATTAAAATTTGAACATATTTTAGCCGCTATTCGTTTCGAAACTTTTTTATTTTCGGAAGTGACACTAGAGTCTCAGCAGAGTTTTACTTAACTCGGTTGGTGTCAGTTGATCGTGGCCGGTTGAGCGTCAGCAACTTTGGTCGGCTATAACTTTTTTCCGCTTGATTCAATACTAATGAATCATATATCATTCGAAAGCCCTCGCTAAGCGCTATATTTGTTTCAATTGGATGGATCATGATTGATCGCTATTTAAAAAGTTACAAGTCGATAAGTGTGAAAAACAACGATTTTCTGCACTTATCGACTTATAACCTTTTAACCGGGATCAGACTTGATCCATCCAGTTGGGATAAAGATTGGACTCATCGAGGGCTTTCGAATGATATATGATTCATTAGTATTGAATCAAGCGGAAAAAAGTTATAGCCGATCAAAGTTGGCTGACGCTCAACCTGCCACGCTCAACTGACCCCAACCGAGTTAACTAGGTTCCGGCAAAATCGCATTCCCGGGACCCCAGAACGGGATTTTTTCAACATTTTGTACGGGACGGGATCCCGCGGGATTAATCCCGTAAATCCCGTTTGTCGCTAAAAACCCGGGATTCCGAGACGGGATCCCGTAAATCCCGTACGGTGTCCCGTCCCGTGCCGGGCTCTATACTTAACGTCGTTCTGCTTCCTTTTTTGCTTCTAAAAAAATTTATTTTAATTTTTAAAATTTTTTAGAACTTTCAAAAAAATTCATAAGACATTCAAAAAACTAAAATTATGGCAAGTCCACGTACTAGACGAATATTAAAAGACCTTAGACCTGTTGATGAGAATAACGTATTTTTTAAATTTTATTAAAAAAATTTTAATTTTTTTTTCCAGTTTTGTTTTGAATGTCAAGCATTAAATCCTCAATGGGCTAGTGTTACTTATGGCATTTGGATTTGTTTGGAATGTTCTGGGAAGCATAGAGGACTTGGTGTACATATCAGGTTTTATTTAGATTTTTTAATTTTGATGAGGTTATAGCGGGTATGGGCCGAGGTGGGTACAGCCCGAAAAGGCGCGGGCCGAAAAGGAATTATCAACCTATTAAAAGTGAAATGTCTTCGCTACACGATGGCCGTGCTTCGCTTCGCTCGCGGCGACCGTAGCGAAGCAGCGGCCGTCGTTCCGCTCGACATGCCCGGCTTCCTCCGCAGCGGCAAAAACTTTTTTCCGCGTAGGCCTTGTGGAAGGGTGTGTTAATCAAAAAGATTGGCGCCTTTTCGGTCGCGCCTTTTCGGGCGTGTCCCGGCCGAGGTCCCTGAAAGCCGAAACTGCCGAATTACCGAGATCCGAAGTCCCGACTCTTTTTTGATTCGAAACCCGATCCTGATAAAATTTCGAATCTGCAAAATTTCACCCCTGACTTTTTTTCTCTATCCAATCCATTACTTGCCTTTTAATTTTCTTTTGGTTTGGAATAAATTTAAATTGTCTACATTCTACTAAAATTGAGTGTAGTTCTTAATTTTTGAGGGCGGGTCCGTAGCCAGGTGGAGTAGGTCTTAGTTTTCAAAATTCAAAAAATTTTTGCCTGAGGCGTGAATTTTTTGCGCCGACAGCCTTGGCAGAAAAATTCTCCTCCTTGGCCCTCTCCCAAAAAATCTTGACTTAAGGTTCTACTTGAGTGCTTTAAATTCGGTGTCAGACTATTTTATAAACTTTTAAGTCAAATGTTTTGTCTATGTAAAATTCTTCAAATTTTTCAATTAAAAATTATTTTCTTTAAAAGTTTTGTTCGTTCCCTAACAATGGATAAATGGAAAGATAGCGAATTAGAAAAAATGAAGGTTGGAGGAAATGTAAAGGCTAGGGAGTTTTTGGAATCCCAACCTGATTTCAAGCCGGAATGGACTATAATTGAAAAATATAATTCCAAAGCTGCCGCTCTGCTGAGAGATAAGGTTCTTTTTTATTTTTGGGGAATTGACCATTTTGAGACCATTTTTAAAAAAATTTTTTTAAATTCTTCGAAATTTTTTAAGGTCAGCGCCGAATCTGAAGGCAAAGTGTGGTCCTATGAAACGTCTCCAGCTCGTAATTATCAACCTATTAAAAGTGAAATGTCTAAACCTTTGAGCAGTGGACGTGTCGAGAGTTTACACAGCGATGACTTTGATGGATTTCAAAATTCTGGACAAAGGTGTCAATTGTTTATTTTCAACTCGAAATTATTTTTTGTGGTTTTCTGACTTCTTTTCTATTTTTTGAAAGATTTGTAAGACAATAGGTCAAGAAATTCACTCTTTTGCCCAAAAATTCACTTTGCCCCAAATTTTTTCTTTCCCATTTGGGGGGGGGAAGTAGGGGTAACTTGGATGTGTGGAGAGTTTACATCCTATGAATTTCACCTGATATGAAGGAACCGATAATTTGGCTTTTTTTTTATTTTTTAGTAATTCTCGTTATTCCGGCTTTGGCAATCCCCAATTTCAACAAAAAATGAGTTTTTACTCCAATTCTCAATCTGAAATGTTAACGGGTGCTTTGAACTCTCTTTCAATGGGGTGGAATTTGTTAAGTAAAGGAGCAACTTCAGCTGCTGGGATGGCTAAAGATTTGACTTCTCAAACGGGTACAAAAGCTGTTGAGTTGAGTGAAACTGTTGCGAGCAAGGTTTATTTTTAAAAATTTATTTTTTACTTTTGCCTCTGAATTGACTTTACTACTTGTTAGAAATTTCAGAATGTCTTGATTTGGTATGAGAAATTTTCTAAGACTTACCTCCTTCCCGGGCACGTACTTTCCTTCCTCTCCTATGAAATTTTTCTGATTGAATTTGGTCTCGTATTGGCTTATGTATCTTTTTTAAGTTTCGTATTTTAGCTAATGTATTTTGACCTCTCTTAATATTTTTGATCAAAACCCTCTTCAAAATTCTTTTGCGTATAGGCTTCATCCTTAGCACATAAACATAATATATTTTTGATATTTGTTTTAAAAAATATTAAAAAATTTCAGATTGGAGAAGGAAAATTGCTTGGAGGTTTTGGCAATTTATTAAATTCGGCAACAGAATTTGGTCAAAAATCGTTTAGTGGAATTAATCAATTTGTAAAATCAACAAGTTTGCATGGTTTTAGTGGTGGACAATTTAAAGAGTTTTTTTTTAATTTTTCAATAGAAATATAATTTTTTTCCAATTTTCAAGTCAATATGATGACTTATCTGACTTGAAAAATGCTAGCCAAGTAAATGAAGGTGAAGATTTGGATGATGAAAAATTTAAGAAAATGTATCGACAACAAAAAATTGGGGAAGAAACAAATAAACTTACTTCAGGTTTTTTAAAATTTTCTCAAAACAGTTAGGTTTCGGCAGAACTTATATTTCTGGTAGTATTTTTAGTGAATATTGTTGTCGGTTTCAAGTGCGAATCGAAAAATGAAAGATTTTTGGTTAACCGATGAATTGTTGAAGCCAACAACCCTACGTTTCATATTCTTCCTTCAAAGCCATGTATAGTAGATTCTTAAGAACGGGAAAGACATCGCTCGTTATATAATTACAGAAAAAAATTCTAACATAGAAAAACTTACATTAGGAATAGTTTTTTACTTTGGTCTTCTGAGTCTAATTAAGGCTTTATCGGCCCAATAAGCATTACGGTCTAATACTCTGAGGTTGATATTTCAAATATTACATACTTTCATTGAACTTGTAAAGATTTATTGTACTTACAAACTAGACCAGAGACAAGAAAAAATTTTTTAACTCGAAAAAAAAATTTTTTCACATAAAAATTAACATTTTTTATTTTATTAAAGGAATTCCATCATCTAAATATTCTTCAAATTCGGCAAAAAGTGGATTAAACAATATAGTTGAGAATGAGCATGAATTGGGTTTACCAGATAATTTATATCAATCAAGTAGTTCATCTCCTTCATTAATTTCTCTTGAAAAATCGGGTGAACAAATTGTTAAAAAACAACAAGGATTGAATAAACAAGGAATGGAAAAGAAAAAAACGGCAACAAAACCAAAAGATGATCCTTGGGATATTTTAAATAGTTGAGGGGGATAGACAGGGACGAGGCTTTATTTTTTGGAAAAATTAAAAGGAAAATTTTAGTAAAAATGTTTTTCTGATGAATTTGCGGACATTTTTAATCTGTCCGCAAATTTTTTGCGGACATTTTTTATGTCCGCAAATTTTTTGCGGACATTTTTTATGTCCGCAAATTTTTTGCGGACATTTTTTATGTCCGCAAATTTTTTGCGGACATTTTTTATGTCCGCAAATTTTTTGCGGACATTTTTTTGTCCGCAAAATTTTTTTGCGGACTTTTTATAATCTGACATTTTTAATTGTCCGAAACACCAAAAAATTTAAAATTTTGGAAATTTCTTGTTGCAAAAATTTTCTTTTTGGTGTAAAGCCTTGGATCTTTTAATTTAAAAATTGTACTAATATACCTATTCATTATTTGTTCCCCTTGCTCTAAATAAATTAAGAAATTGTAAAACCTTTAACCTGGGAACCTTTATAACTTTCACGAAATCAGAATCCGGTACTGGAAAAAAATCCAATCTTTTCTAACAATAAAAATAAGAGAAAAGGGGCATCTGAACTTTCCCAATAAAAATAAACATTCTAACTAAAGCCTTATTTTTGGGCTTTATTAAATACCTATTCATATCTTGCTTCGATTATCGACCTTTTTTTCTAATTTAGATTAAATAAAAGATTTTTCTTAAAATAAATATTGTAACTATTTTTGGAAAAGTTTGTATTAAAATTTTTAAAAATAATTTAAAGTATGTAGGTCAAAAATTAATTCGTTAAAATATATGGGTGCCAAATTTTCTCTAAATGTTTGGTCGACCACTTTATTTTTTAATCCCCTTTCAGTCAAAAAAATAGAACTAAAAAAATAAAAACTCAAATCGAATGGTCGCTCAATTTCTATTTTTTTTCAAAAATTTTTTTTTAAAGTTTTCAAAAAAAGTAATGAAATACATATATCAGAGCAATGATCAAAATTCTATTCTGAAAACTATAAATCTTTTAGATTTGTCACTAAAAGTTTTGAATATAAACAAAATATTGGTGAATGGACACTAAACTTATTTTTGTTTATTTTTCTAGTCTTTTTTTTTATTATGATCAAAATAAATATTAAATGTAGTTAAACTAAATATATCATTTGACTAAAAACATTGTTTTGTTTTTAGTGTTAAAACTTTTTTATTCAAGTTCATTTTAATTTCACAATTACAAAACATAAGGAAACTTGAAGAAAGTTTTTTAACTAACAATAAGAACAATGTTTTGTAATTGTAAAATAAACAACTAAGCAAGTTTTGAACAAAACACAGTCAAACAAAACATGATTCACAATTTTACAAAACATTGTTGTTTGTTCTGAACTTTTTCAAGTTTGTTTTACAATTGCAAATATAAAACAAACAACTAGGCAAGTTTTAAACAAAACACGGGTAAACAAAACATAGTTAAAAAAACATGTTTTACAATTTTACAAACAGCGTGTTATGTTCAAAACTTTTTTTTCAAGTTTACAATTACATTTGCAAAACTATTTTACAAATTACATAATATAACAATATACCGTATTTCCTGTATCATAGCAACCTTCCGAATTAGAACCCCCTCCTTAATAAAGTCAATTTTTGGAGGGTGTTTGGAAAATAGAGCCCCCCGTCTGTATCAGAGCGTTCCTCCTTAATATGGTCCTTGTTTGGAGTACAGTTGAAAAATAGGCCCCATGAGGCTCTAATACAGTAGATACGGTAATCATTATCAGATTATAAAACATTTTTAAATTATGAGCAATACCAACTCAGCATCATCACCCTCTCCTATGCGCTGGGTCTTAAATCAAGACGCGCGTAATTGTTCTGGAATTATGTGCCCCCCAGACACTCTTTGTTTGCGACCAGAACATTTTTCTGTTCCGACACATTGTGTCCATAAAAGTGTAATGGACAACGTTGCCAAACACCTTTCGAATGGGCCGGTTTATTTGTGCAATGATGGGATTATTCAGAATGTCATTGTGGCGATGCTTGTGGTGATTATACTTGTTCAGGCAAGGAAATTAGAAAAAATGGGGCTCTAGTCAAGTTTATGTGTCCATCTAACCTTTATATGTTCGATACATTTTATATATGTCCAAACAAATTTTTATATGCCCATCTAATATTTTATCCGTCCGATTAATTTCTCATGCATCCCATGTAACTTTATGCACAGTAAATAGCGTTGGACACAACTGGAACCGGTATCCCCGGTTTTCGGTTATTCCCGGTATTCTATTTTTCGGTTCAGTGTAAAAATACCGGTTAACGGTTCTGGTTTGGTTAAACATTTGTGTCCAATCCTAATAGTAAAGTATATTGGACATAAAATTTGTTTGGACGCATCTCTTTAAAACTTTTTATAACCTCCTTACATGTTGGTCGTCTAAACTTTTTAATGGACGTATAAGGGTTGACTGGACGCATGAAATTATGAATGGACGCATAAACTGAACAATAGTCAAAATTAATTTTTTATTTAACCAATTTTATAGATAGCTCTGTTCTCTTTGTTCTACTGGCGTTCGTCATTTAAAAAACTTTCCGACAACAAAAAGGAGAAAAAGAATACCCGAAAAGATGGATATAACAAATCTCTAAGTCCTTCAATATGCAATACTTTAACAACTAATCTTGAGTTAATGACTCCTCGATTGGAGCTGCCTACTCGATCGAACCCAACCCACTTATGTGAAAGAAGTGACCAATATACTATTTTGACTCCTAAATTGTTCGACCCCTCCGCAAGTACTGGTCGGCGTTATGAAAGAAATGATCAATCAGCAAATTCGAGTTCATTCAGTTCTGAATACTCTGCACCTTATAATAATGTTTAAATCAGGGTTGTTTTTTTACCCTATTTATAGGGGATTTTCCCTATTTTTGATCTTTTCGCCCTATTTTTTCCCTATTTTTAACTTTTGCCATATTTTGCCCTATTTTTAACATTTTGTAATATTTTTTAAATGTTCTGGGATTTTGTAAATAAAATGCAAAAAAAACAAAGAAATCTGACTCTTGGACATCAAAATTCTCAAAATTTTCGCCTGCGGCGCTGAAAAAAGAGAAATCTCTCCTATTGGTTTTCTCAAAATTTTCGCCTTCTTTTTTAAAAAAGGAAGAAATCTAGCTTATTGAGCTCCAAAACTCAAAAAATTTCGCCTGCGGCGCTAAAAAAGTGAATTTTTTGGCCTTCTAAAATTCTCAAAATTTTCGCCTGCGGCCTAAAAATAAAAATTTTTGGCGCCTTCGGCGCCAATGATTCGGTGCAAATGATTCGGTGCAAATATTTTTTGCCCTATTAGTGACCGAGTTTGCCCTATTTTTGCCCCATTTTTGAGTGGCTGCGCTCTATTTTAGTGGTTTGGAAAAAACAACCCTGGTTTGAATTGTTAAAGAGTGAGAAGAAAATATTACAATTTTCGAAACATTTTAATTTTCGCAATCTTACAAAAATATTTTATAATTTTCCGGAAAGTTTGTAGCTACAATTTCTGGATTGGTAAACTCCATTTACAACTTTCCGGAAAAGTTTAATGTTTTGAAGCATTCCAAATGTTTTACAATTTTACTGAATGTTTCTAAGTTTAATAAGATTAGGAAAGAGTTTTACAATCCTTTCTTTCCGGAATGTTTATAAATTTAAAAAATGTTTTACAATCTATTTACAACTTTCCGGAAATGTTTAAACTTTTGAACTAATAAATGTTTTACAATCCTTTTTTCCTGGAATGTTTTTAAATTAAAACAGTTTCTCTCATAAATTTGCTAAAGTTATTTCCCGTGTGTTATTTCTCGTTTTATTACTTATACTTAGAGCGCGGACCGTACCGTACTACGGCCGTATTTTTCGGTATTTATCGGTATTCCGTATCTGTAGTACGGTACGGAATACGGTACGGAACGAAATTCCGCGCTCTACTCATACTATTTATAGCTTAATTAATTTTTAAAAATTCTTATTTCCAAAATTAATTTTTTCCAAAAAAATAACGAATAATAGAACAAACGATCAAAAGTTTACATTATTAAAAATATAAATCTAAGTTGTCACTAAAAGTTTTGAATATAAACAAAATATTGCTGAATGGACACTAAATTTATTTTTGTTTATTTTTCTAGTTTTTGCAGCATAATATAATCAAAATAAACAATTCTAGTTAAACTATATCATTTGACTAAAAACATTGTTGTGTTTTTAGTGTTAAAACATTTTTCCCCAAGTTCATTTTAGTTTCACAATTACAAAACATGTTTACCGTATTTACTCGATTAGCTCCCCTCCCTCGAATAATTCCCCTCCCTCGATTAATTTCCTTTGCTAGAGTTGGGTTGAAACAATAATTCCCCACCCCCAAATACCCTACTGCACGTTCAAATGACAAAACTCGAATAATTCAATTCCTCAAATAATTCCCCTCCCTCAAATAATTACCCTCCGTCGAATAATTCCCCATCCCACGTATGAGTTGAAATTTTGATTCCCCAATTTTAATTCCCCGATATTTAAAACTTTTCGGTTGTTGCATTTTACAATTACAAACTTATCTATCTTTCAATGTTTTTCACTTAGTACAATAAAAAATAAATTTTTATCAGATTAAATTATTTCATGAGCAATATCAACTCAACTACCTACAACCAACTTAATTCTACTAAGTATTCCTCAGCAATGTCGTCATTCCCTACGGGTTATAAACGTTGGGTGTTCAATTACGACATTCGTAACTGTTCTGGAAATCTGTGCCCACCGAACACTCTTTGTATGCGACCAGAATATTCTTATTATCCGACACATTGTGTTCACATAAATAACGTGGACGACGTTGATCAACACCTATCAAATGGCCCGGTTTATTTATGCAATGATGGGATTGCTCAGTATATCACTCAGGGGATGCTTGTGACTATTTTAATTGTTCAGGCATGTAGGCAGCAGAGGTGGGTCGGAATAGTCAGAGGTATCGGAAATCGGAACTATCGGAAATGGCTCAAAAGTCGGAACTCGGGAATCGGAACTGTCGGAAATCGGAACTGTCGGAAATCGGAACTGTCGGGAATCGGAACTGTCTCAAAAGTCGGAACTCGGGAATTGGAAATAAAATTTATTTTCGGAAATCGGAATTCTGACCCACCTCTCGTAGGCAGAAAAAAAAATTTTTTTTCTATTCGAAAATTTATAGATTGTTCTCTGCCTTCAGTTCTTCTGGCGTTCTTCAAGTAAAAAAATTTCTGACAACAAAAAGATCAAAAAGAATCCTTCATTATGCGACTCTATAACAGCTAATCTGGAATTACTGACTCCTCCTCGATTGGATTTGACACTTATTCGATCAAACATCCCAACTCTCCTACGTGAAGGAAATGACCAACCAGCTATTAATTCCGAATTCTCTACCAGCAAGTCAACTCGGTTTTATGAAAGAACTGAACAAGCAAATAGTAGCACAAGTTTATTCAGTTCTGAATATCCTGTACCTTTTGCGCCTTATCAAAATGTTTAAAATGTCAAAATGTTTGAAATGGAAATTCACTGTAATATTTAGAGGAAATAATATTTAAAAATATTTCCGGAAACTTAAGTTTACAATTTTACAAAATAATTTTACAACCTTCCGGAAAAATGCTTAATAAATTTCCGGAATGTTTATAAAGCCTAGAAATGTTTTACAACCCTTTTCCGGAATGTTTATAAAATTAATTTTATTACAATCCTCTTACAACCTTCCGGAAAATATTTAATTAAGTTCCGGAATGTTTTTAAGTCTATAAAATTGAAATGTTTTACAACTTCCGGGAAATGCTTAATAAATTTCCGGAATGTTTATAAAAAATACTCAACGTCTTAAAAATATTTTTACAATCTTAACAATATCATTTAAATTAATATTTATTAAATAAACATGTATTAAAATAAAAATTCTGGCAAGTTTTCTTTGTTTAAAGCTTATATTCGAGATATGTAAAATTATCAATAAAATTCTTTTTTTAGAGCAAATCAGCATTTTTATAATTATTTTGGTAAAGACTTCTGTTTAATTCCGAATATTTTCGTCGCCAGCATGGGCAAAATTGAAAGACAAACATTTTTCGAAATCGACGGCCAAAAATTGAATAAATTAAAATATTTGTGGCACTAAAAATAAATTTTTTTTTAAATAATTTTGGAGGAATTCCTCACCTATTTAGGCAAACCAAAAAATTTCCGATAGGAATTCGCAAATTTTGACCATCATCTTGCATGAGATTAAATGCTTCAATTACGTGGTTTACACCTAAAAAATTAGAAGAAATTATTTTTTAGTAAATTTAAAGTAAACTCTAACCAGCTAAAAAATTAAAGGCAATAAATGAAGCAATAATTACAATAGCCATTTTTGTGCAACGATTATTGTTCTCAATAATTCCTTAAAATAATTAATTTTATTCGTTAAATCAAGTAATTTTTAGTGGTAAAATTAGTGGTAAAATCAAGTTTGTAATAGTTATAGTATTTTTAATTTTATTTCCGGAAACATAATATAGTAAAATGTTTCCGTTAAGTTTGCGAAATAAAGACTAGCATTAATATTTTCCGGAAACTTTAACCATTAAATGTTTCCGGAAAACTTTAATGTTTCCGTCAAGTTTGTAAGTGGAAATTAAAATTATAAGTTTTCCGGAAAAGTTTGAACTTAAGTTTTTAAGTTTGTGGATAAATAATTAATATTTTTCCGGAAAAGTTTGAAGTTTCCGTCAAGTTTGTAATTAAAAATAATATTATAAGTTTTCCGGAAAAGTTTAAACTTAAGTTTTTTTTAAGTTTGCGAATTAATACTAAATATTATTATTTTTCCGGAAAACTTTAAACTTTCCGGTAAGTTTGTAAAATTATTAAAATCAAAATTGTAAAATAACATTTTCCATAACTACATTAAGTTTTACAACTCTAAATTTTCCGGAAAGTTTCAGCAATAAAAATTACCACTAATAGTTTCAAGGACTTGATGTTTTTCGCAACTTGAAGAAACGTTCGAATTAATGTTTGAAGTATTATTGTTGTTTTGTAAAACTTTTCCTCCCGAAAACGAATCTTTAGAACCGTTTTGTTGTTTAGTTTGTACTAGTTGAGTTGTTACCCAAGTTGTGCTATTGTTACTTTCTCGTTTTACAACACAACCATTACTTCCTTGACTGCTTCGAGTTAGTCTAGATGACCTTAAAAAATTTTTTTGATTTTTTTTTGAAATTTTTTTTGAAAATTCTTAAAATTTTAAGAAAATTTTTTGAAAATTTTTTGAAAATTTTTGAAAATTAAAAAAAATTTTTTTACCTTCTAACAACATTCATTCGATATCTCTCTAAATTTGCTCGGTGAATAATTGACAAAATCCGAGCATTTAAAACGATTATGAAAAGGAATGGGGTAGCTAACATTAATAATAAATAACCTAAAATATAATAAAATAAATTAAAAAAATTATTAGTCCCCACCGTAAGTGTAATAAATTGTAAAATAAAGACGATTATCTCTCAAAGAGGTTTTCATTAAATGACCACATTCATTAAGTGTAACTTCAAAAAATGAGGGCATTTTGAATAGGATTGCAATAATTGTAATAAATAAAACAACTGTTCTAGCTCTATTTGCGGTACACCTTCAAAGAGAAATTAAGTTTGTAAACATAATTATTGCTTTACAATAATAATTTTTATATTTTATTCCGGAAAATGTTAACTACACTGCTCCACAAAAGTATAGCGCCACCCCTTTTTTCTCGGTTTCAATACTGTAACAGTTATTTTTAGGTATTTTTAGACTTTTTTGTAATAATAAATAGTGGTTTTCCGGAAAAGTTGTTCCGGAAAAGTTAACCTTAGGTTTGCAAACTTAAGTTTTTTAAATTGTAATAATTCGTAATATTTTAGTACGGAAAGTTCATTAAGTTCGCAAACTTAATGTTTTTAGCTCTCTTCCGGAAAACTTAAATAGTAAAACATTTCTAAGCCTTTTCTAAGGTATTTCCGGAAATACAAGTCCGGAAAGTTCATTCTAGTATATTTCCGGAAATAGAAGTCCGGAAGGTTTATTAAGTTCGCAAACTTAATGTTTTTAGCTTTTTTCCGGAAAACTTAAATTATAAAACATTTCTAAACCTTTTTAAGATATTTCCGGAAATAGAAAAGACATTCTACATTATTTCCACAAAGTTAATATTCATTAACCTACCAAGCTCTCATATGCAGAGGATAACGCACAGCCAGGTACCGATCAACTGTGATTGCTATTACTGTCCAAACACTTGCTGTTTGAGCCATTAAGGAGAGTGGATATGTGGCAAGTGATGTTCTCCAAAAGAAATGACAAATGGGGCCACGATTGCCCTGAGAATGAGCAATTTTTTCAAAATAATTCAAAGATTAAGAACCTCCTGTAAGCACATATTCATACTAGGATATATTATTGCCGCGCAGAGGAGAAGCACAAAATCGAAAAAAGATAGGGCAGCCAAATAAATTGATAATGATGAGCGCATCTGTCGACGCGTAAAAATAAATACACAAATTATGGCACCCACAACACCTTAAAAATAATTTAAATATTTTTAAGTTTTATTTAAGTTTACGAAATATTCCAGGATGTTAAAAACTTAAGTTTGCAAACTTAAGTTCATAACAATTCTATAACCTTCCGGAAATTATATAGAGTTTACAAAACTTAAGATTGTTCTATTATTCAAGTATGTTTTGAAATATACTTAAGTTTTCCGGAAAAATTATATTCGCTTCTTCCGGAAATTTATAATCTTTTTCCTGAAGGAATATAGTATTTAATTTTACGGAAGGATTTTATTTCTCTTTCCGGAAAATTATTCTCTCTCTTTTCCGGAAAATTATATTGTCCTTTTTGTCTTTTTCCGAAAAGATTCTCTCCTTCCGGAAGGAGTATAATAAAACTTTAATAATCTAACCAAGAAGGCAAACAACAGGCATCAAAACAGAATAAATTATTTGTGAGAGATCGTTTAATGGAGGAGGGGTCATTTCCGCATCACAATCTATTGCTGATATAATTACTTCATTAACAATACTTTTAGTAGATGATGGTTGTTCTTGATTGAAATTTGTTGTTTCAAGCATTGGCTTTTTAATTAAGATTTTATTTTGAGACATTTGTGTTTTTGTTGGGGGGAATTGAAGGATCAAGTAATGGATATAGGATTTTTATAAAATTAAATTAAGACTTATATTTTGCTATTTTTCTGAAAAAATATGTGGAATAATTAAATTTCGATGGTTTAAAAATTTTAGATTACTTAAAGGGAAACAAGGATTTGAGAGCAATGGTGGGGAAAATTAAGGGGATTATTACCTAAATTTAAATTTGTAGGGAAATAAAAATTCGATGGGAAGGAGGAGACTTTAGTCAAGATTTGAGAGGACTTGGGGAGATTTTTGAGAGGGAGGGGGGGGGGATTCTGGGATTGGGGCAGATTTTGGGCAGACTTTCGATTCTTTCATCTTTTATGGCATAAGAAAGAATGTTCTTCCTTTTTGTTTCTTAGCTTTTGAAATTTTATTTTTTAAATTAATTTGCTATTCGATATGGATGTTAGAAATTAAAGTGTTCTTTACTAAAGACAATTTTATAAAAAAATTTGTAAAGAGTGCTTCGAGAGCACAAATTTATGAAATAATTAATCAAAGTAAAAGTTGTCAACCAAATAAATATTTAAATTTTTAATTGCTTCTTTTAAGTGTTAAAAATGCTAATCAAACAGTGTCACGCAAGCTAGGCTTTTTCCACAATTTATTCATAATTTTAAGTATATTCTATGAAATATAATCATTGTTCTTTGTAAAATAGAGGAAGTTAATTATTTAAATTGTATTTAAATATTTTTATATAGACCAGCTTGAATTTTTCTTTTGAAATTATGACCAAAGTTAACGACCTCTATTAGCTTGCGTGGAGCTTGCGTGGCGTTACAATTGTAGTTTAATTAAATTTTATAAACTTTACCAAAATCCGAAAAAAATTTTTTTTTGAAAAATCCTAAAGTTATGAAGGTCTAAAATTGTTTAAAAAATTTTTTTTGAAAATTCCGAAAATTTGAAATCCAAAAATTTTTTTCTGAAATTACTTAAAGTCCAGAAGAGTTTAATTAATATACTGAATTTAATGCATTTCCGAAAATTAAAAAAAAATTTTCTCAAAAATCCTAAAAGTTCGTAAGACATGAAATTGTTTTGGAAAATTTTTTTCAAAAAATTCCCCAAAAATTATTTCTCGAAAATCCTAAAAGTCCAGAACGCTAAAACAGTTTAACAAAATATTTTTAATTTTATAAAGTCTAAAATTCAATTTTATAAAATAAATAAATAGTTTTGGACAAAAATAAAATAAAATTATTTATTTATGACGAAAAACAATAGGAAAAACAAAAGAAATAAAAGAATAAAGCTTTTATTAAATTATCTCCTATATACTCATTTTTCAACCCCTTTAAAGCCTATTCCTTCTCCACTAAGATTAGTTCCTTATACTTATTCTTTCTAATTTTGTTAACTTTTTTTTCATCCAAGTTTAGATTTTTCTTTTATTTTTTTTTATTTTTCTGCAAAGATAATAAAGTGGGGGGTATTTTTAACAATATTGCTTTTCAGGGTGGTCTTTGGAATATTTTTGTAAATTTATATTAGTAAATTTAGATTAGTAAATTTATATTAGTAATATTAAAAGTAGACACATAGGCAGGTGAAATTGGATTTATTTTTAAGTAAAAATCACTTAAATAAATTAAAGATTGATTTTATTTAATTAATTTATTTTCAGAAAATAATTGGAAAAAAAATAAAAATAAAAGGTTAATTTTTAAAAATTAAGGGTATGTTTAAGAATAAAATTTAATGATATTCCCAAAGGGAACAGAAAGATTAAATGAGTAATTAAATTAATTAAATGAGTAATTATTAATTATTAAAGTACTCATAATAATTAAATGAGTAATTAAATAAAAAAAGGAGGGCTAATAAAGGAGATTAATTATCCCTCCCACTATAAAGAAACTTTTGTTTAAATAAACAGTCCTTGGTTTCATTTTAAAAAATAAATTTTTAATTGAAATTAAAAAAAATTTATAAAGAAATTTCTAAATTTATATGGAAGTTCTAAACATTATCGAATATTATAGAAATAAAAAAAATAATTAGGCTTGAAAGAGATCTTTTCCAATAAATATGTAGAATAAAAGAAACTTGTGAAATTCTATCTCTTTTGGAAGTTTTAAAGAAATTCAGAAACATTTCTAATAATGAGAGAATTTGAGAAACAAAAATAATTAGAACATGCTTCTGTGTTAAAACAATGTTTTATATCTCAAGCTTGAAAAAGTTTTAATGTTGCAAACTTGGAAATCAGCATAGAAAATTCAGATTGCAACCTAAAAAGTCACAAACTTAAGAAGATAATATAACTTGAATGAAGGCTAAATAAAGTTTTAAGCTTAAACTTGTTTTAAGCTTAAACTTGTTTCAAGTTTTTTTTCATGTTTCAAGTTTAAACTTGAAAATGTTGAATAAAGTTCTAAGTTCAAGCTTGAAAAAAGTTTTAATAAAGTTTTAAGCTCAAACTTGAATAAAAAAACACGACCTCAAAGATTATAAACTTGAAAAGGTTGAATAATCTTTCAAGTTTAATCTTGAAAAGAAATAAAACATCAAGTTGCAAACTTAACAAAAGAAAGGAATTTTATAAAACAAACAAAACATCAAGGTATGCATAACCGGAATAATAAATTATGTAAAGTGTGAATAAAGTAATGCTAAAATATTTATAACGATGAAATATACTCTACATATTATTTTAGTGCCAAAAAGAAATGGGGAGGATATTTATAAGGGAAAAAGCCTAATTAGAATTTTGGGGGGATTAGAGTATAAAATTGCTAAAAATAATATTAGGGGAAGAATATAACCTCTTCTTCCCCCAAATAATTTTTTTTGCAGAATTGTGAGACAAAAATATCTTTATATTTATCTAATAATTAAATTAGCCCAATTTTCAGAAAAACAAATTTCAAGAGTTAACGTCATTTTATTTTTAAAAATATTCTAATAATGACTGCCAAAACATTCTAGCACTGTCAAATGCACACACCCATATATTTATTTAATAATAACAGTCAGTCGTCCTAATTAGCATTTCCTAGTTTTTTGAGGAAAATTTTTATAATGTGAGAATATAAGCCTTTCTCTCCCAAAATAAATTAATAAGTCATCCTCCCTCACTATTAAAAATAAAAAATTAGGTTGTCACTCATCTATTATTTTTAGTCCAAGAGAGGATATAATATTGACTGTATTACATTTATAAAAATACCAGAATTTTATTTTTCCTTTTTAAATTCTGATATTTATATTCTGATTCTAATTTCTGGTAGAAAACAAAAAATAAACTTGAAAAAGCAAACTTAAAAATAAGGTTGAAAAATAAGGTAGAAAAATAAACTTGAAAAATTAAACCTGGAAAAAAGTTTTAAACTTTTTCATATGAAAACTTGAAACCTAAGAGATTGTAAGCTTGAAAAGTAAACATTGAAAATAAACTTGGAAAAGTAAACTTGAGAAAATAAACTTGGAAAAAAGTTTTAAACTCTTTCAGATTGTAAACTTGAAACTTTTGAAATTGTAAACTTAAAAAAATAAACTTGGAAAATTAAACTTGGAAAAATGTTTCAAACTTTTTCAGATTGTAAACTTGAAAAAATAAAACTTTTTAAGCTTAATCTTAAAAAACGAAATTTATCTAATTCTAAGTTTACAAACTTGAAGGAATTAATAAAATTAATTATAATAATACGTCTAATGGTCATACAAAAATAAGCGTCTATGTATATGCTTAAAAGCATTATAAATATTTTAAATATTTTTAATTGCTAGGATAATTTTAAAAATAATAAATATATTTCTCACTTGATAAATTGCCAACAAAATTAAAAAAAAATATTTTAATACTTTAAAATTAATTCCATTGAATACAAACATAAAGGAAGGGTGGGGGAGACTTCCGGTAGTGAGTTAATCCTGGGAATGGATTAATAATTTTTAAAGTTTCGTACTGATAACAACACTTGGAGTATTTTAACAAATAAAAAATATTTAATGATTTATTTAAAAAAATATTTTTTTAAATAAATTATTTTTAAAGAGGAACGTGAAGTATTTGGAAATAAAATCAAATGTTTGTTTGACCACTTTTGGAAAATCAAATTTTTTCAAATATCATTGAAGGGAGTGACTTTAAAAAAAATTTTTTTTAATTTTCATTAACCATGGAAGTGAGTCTAGTTGATGGAAATTAGTCGACTTGATTGACCGATTTCTGATCGACAAAACAAAGATTGAGAAAGTCACTACTAACCTCTTGACTGGCTTTATCTAATCAATTCCCGTTTGGATTTTATAGTTAGACCTGTGGACGGAAGCTCATCCAATTTTCCATGAATTACACTTTGGAGAATATTAATCCAATATTTTTTGGATAGACTAGACAAAATTTAAAAAGAAATCAAGACATTTCCCAAATGAACTATTAAAACAATTTTTAATCTTTTCACAAAAAGTATATCTAGACGTTAAGAAAAAAGAAACGACTTAAAAGTAAATGTTAAATTAATTCCAAAGAATTACAATTTATTAGATTAAATGTGCTAATTTTCTTAAAAAATTTCAAAAAAAAAATTCGAAAATTTTTACAAAAAATTTATCAAACAAAATTTCAAAAATATTTTCAAGAAATTTTGGCGCTGGTTTAGTTTATGCGTTCATGAAACTTTATGAGTCCTATCACGAAAAATTGGATTTCTCTTTATGTTGCATAGTTGGGGTATGGTTCCAAAAAATTTATTCATGTTCGGACCTACGCCCACTGGGTCTGGGACCATTCCTTACACTACCCCTCGAAATTTCTGAAAGTTAAAATCGTTTTTCTTAAATTTTTAAAAATTGGCTATAACCTTCAGAAATTCCCAAAAAATTTCCTCAAATTTTTTGAAATTTTTTGATTTGTTAGCTAACATTAGAGAGATAAGTATGTTAGTGTCGTATGAGAATTGTACAAGATATCTCTCAAAATTCGATCTCAATATTCCAGATTTATGTTCCACATTAGTAAAACTGTGGAAAACTTCTCTCCAAAATTTCTACAAAATTTCCTC